TTTTTTTTTTTTAAGATGAGGTTAAAAATCTGGATTTTTATGTGACATATCCCAATTTTTAAATGTGGCAAATAATTAAAATTAGAAATAGTGTCATATAGGTCAAACAAAGGTAGTCTTGTCTAATTCAGGAAATTTGATTAGGAAACTCTTTTCTTACCATGACTTAAATGGTTTCTTTACTTCTGGCTGCATAATATGATAGGCGAGCATATTCATAAGTGTGGCTACTAAAGAAAATTGATTGAGGTAGTGGGTCAAGTTTTTTTAGTAACTACTTCTAGAAAAGCTGATACTGTGTGCAAGTCGCTATATAAATTCTTTCTCTCACTTCTGACTTTATAGAGGGTCTCCTCTTAGAATGAAGAAATGTTATTCTTTTCCTCTGCCTCTGTCCTTAGACACAGGTTTGTGACCACCTTGAAAGGTGAGGACTAGGCATTTTTGAGAATAGTCATATACTCGATCTTCCCTACTATCTGTAGCTCTTCCATGGGGAATAAAATTGAATTATCTAAATGTAGATAAAGTAAATCCCAATTTTGCCCTATATGCAAAAGTGGTTTTTTAAACTAGCAGCCCCCAAATGGTAAAATAACAAATTTTTGTTTATTCAGAATGATTAGGATATGACTTATCCTGTTAATGAATCAGAAGTAGTACATATAAAAGTGCTTTGAAAATTAGAAAGCATTCTATAAATGTGGGGTCACCTTATCTACATAGCGTGTTACCATTTACGAAGCCCTTTGACACCCAAGAGCTCCTTTGATCCTCACACAGTACCCCTGACTTGTAGGTTTTGCTCCTGGAATTATCTCCGTTTTACTGATGAGGAAACTAGGACTCCAAGAAGTTGTGGGATGTGCCTGAGAACATTTGACCATTTCTAGATCCAGATTTCTTCAAATCCAGCATTAATTTGATTAATTAAAGTTTATATTGTGTATATAATATATTGAAAGTATACACATACTATAATTGGAAAATAACACCATATACTAAACATTAATGCTAGATAAGCTATATTTTGGTCATTTATGATTTCAGTTGAGATTATTTTTCAGAATTTTATTAATGTTAAACAAAATGTAGACTATGGAAGTGATACCTTGGATCTTTGTTGGTTCTATAATAAGTCCTTACTCAATTTGCTTGTTTATTTCTTTAAAAGTAAAATATGAGATTGTGCAAAGAATTTCAGGTTTGTAAAGATAACATTAAACTTATGTGTAATATGCTCTTTTATGGCTTGTCTTACACTGATGGAATGTCGTAAGCTTAAGTTTATTTAAGCATTGAAGAGTAGATTGCAGTTCCAGACCAAATCTTACTCAAGTGGTAAACTGGAAAAAACAAAAAACAAAAAAAACCTTTGTTGAGAAAACTGCTTCATGGCAGGGCTGTTAAAGGGGCATTTGCTTTTTTAAACTGAGCTTACACCCAGCACCTTTTTTTTTTTTTTTTTTAAGACACAGAGTCTTACTTTGTCACTCTCAGTAGAGTGCTGTGGTGTCACAGCTCATAGCAACCTCCAGCTCTTGGGCTTACACAATTCTCTTGTCTCAGCCTCCCAAGTAGCTGGGACTACAGGCCCCCACCACAATGCCTGGCTATTTTTTTGTTGCAGTTTTGCTGGGACCCAGTCCGAACCTGCCATCCTCAGTATATGGGGCCAGCGCCCTATCCACTGAGCCATAGGCGCTGCCCACACACCCAGAACTTTGAGAAATTTTTGACTCTTCTTCTAAGTAGACTGATGAAAAGAACTTGAAAGACTTGTAAAGCAAAGGGATTTACTTGGAAGCCTCCCTTGTGATGCAGTCCTGCTTTTAAGCAGCCAACTCAAATCCCAATGGCATTATTGGTTTTTTTGGAAAGAATTACAGAAATTTACTTTCTAATCTGTGACCAGCTTTAGCTCCTTACTAAAGAGATGTAACTTGTTAACATATTTTAGATTTGCCTTCTAACCAAACAGCATTCTTACCAGAGGCTTCTCTCTCACAGGGAAGGAGAGTGATGAGGCCGAGGATGCTGAGCTCTATGACGACCTGTACTGCCCAGCATGTGACAGATCTTTCAAGACAGAAAAGGCGTAAGTTTAGTATCTTTGCACTCATCTTTTGAGGTGAATTGTTACATTTTGAAAAGTCCTAAAAAGAATATGCTAATAGCAGTTAACCACTAGCTCCCTCCAACACACCCAACATGTTGCCTTTGGGGATTCCTGTCCAGCAGTGGGGGAAAAGGTATTGGAACCACCAGTTAAGTCTTTTGTACCAATGCTCTTTCTTTTTCTTCTTCTTTTTTTTTTTTTTAGAAACAAAGTCTCACTTTATCATCCTCCATATAGTGCTCTGGTGTCACAGCTCACAGCAACCTCCAGTTCCTGGGCTTAGACAATTCTCTTGCCTCAGCCTCCTGAGTAGCTGGGACGACAGGTGCCCACCACAGTGCCTGGCTATTTTTTTTGTTGCAGTTTGGCCAGGGCCGGATTTGAACTCCCCACCCTCAGTGTATGGGCCAGCACCCTACCCACTGAACCACAGGTGCCACCTGTGCCAATGCTCTTTCATCCCAATGTTTCTGTGTAGTAGCTGCCTTTTAAACACTTGCACTGTCTTCAGAAAGAGCTGTTGCTTCTGTTGACAAAAAAGTCATCATCTGAGGGTGCTAGGCCACATCTAATTACCTCCCTCTGTTGCTAATTAATGTCAGACTCAATTCAACCATCACTGTCCCATGTTGGCTGGTGCCGCCACCTTTAAACTTGTCCTGCCTAGAGTATATTTAAAGAAGTAGAAGCTTTTTATCTTATATGAACAATGACAAAAGTATTAAAAAGGATGAAGGAGAGAAAGCAAATGAGAGCTGAATGAGCAAAACAGCTTATGCAGTTAGGACGAAAGGATAAATTGAGAGTGGGGATGAGGCATAAATAGAATCGTCACCCTGTAACCCCCAAGGGAGAGATAATGAGGGGTAAGAGTAGAGAGAGGCAAGAAAGTTAGAAATAAGCAAGAAAACAAAAAGCAGCGATGAAGGAAATTTCACAGATTATTTTTTAATTCGGAAACAATGTCACACAAAGTTCCGAGAATATAGCCTGGACACTTAGCAAACTTGCTGATATTTTGCCCCATTTGCAGATGTTCTCTCCGTGTGCACACACAGATACAGTGTCTTTTTCCCGAATAATTTGAAAGCAAGTTTAAGAATAGGATATTCTCTTACATAACTAAAATGTAGCTCTCAACTTTAGGAAATTATAGCATCGATGTGGTACCTTAATTACTGCTCGTGTTTCATTTTTGTCATTTGAGCCTTCCATTATATCCTGTGGAGCACTTCCCCTCTGCAGTTCAGAATCCAGCCTAGGATGCTGTATTATACTCTCTATGTAGTCTCATTTTCTACTCACATCTCATTTAATCTGGAACATTTCCCTTGTTTTTTTTTGGCAGTTTTTGGCCGGGGCTGGGTTTGAACCCGCCCCCTCTGGCATACAGGGCTGGTGCCCTACTCCTTTGAGCCACAGGCACCGCCCCCATTTCCCTTGTCTTAATCTTACATGCTGTTTGCATTTTGGAAGTATACTAGTCCTTTAAAATATTTTTTTCTTAGAGTACTTCTCATGTTGAGATCAGGTGCTTCCTCATGGTTCAAGTCAGGTTAAAGTGGGATACTGCACGAGCGTCCTGTGTTGCTCTCAGGGGCGTATAGTTGAGTGCTGCTCAGGGGTGTTGGTAATTTTGCTCATTCAGTCAGGGTATCATTCAGTTTTTCTACTGTAGAGTTAGCATTTCTTACCTTTGCGGCTAAGTTTCCCTTGTAGCATGCTTAATTTGTGAGGAGAAACTAACGCTGTGCAAAATTCTGCTAAAAATTTCCATCCTAGGGCGGTGCCTACGGCTCAGTGGGTAGGGCTCTGGCCCCAAATACTGAGGGTGGCGGGTTCGAACCGGGTCCCAGCAAAACTGCAACAAAAAAATAGCCAGGCATTGTGGTGGGCACCTGTAGTCCCAGCTACTCAGATGGCTGAGGCAAGAGAATCACCTAAGCCCAGGAGTTGGAGGTTGCTGTGAGCTCTGATACCACGCCACTCTACCGAGGACGATAAAGTGAGACTCTGTCTCTAAAAAAAAAGTCCCTCCTGGTTATAGCATCTGTTAATGGTTTTAGCTTGTACGGATCTGCACTGAGATGGCTGCAGAATGATGCTCTCCCAGCACCCCTTCCACATTTGCCAGTCAGCCCTCGACCTTCTGCTGTAAGCAGGGGCCCTCCATTTTACCCACTTGTTTATCTTTTGGTATGAATATATGGATTTTTTGTGTGTGTGTGATAATTTGTTACTATCCTTTTCATGCTCAAATTCTTCCAGATTTGATTTAGGAGAGTTCCCTGAAGCAGCTCTTATGTCTGTTTGACATATCCTCATCATTGGCTGGAACTTTTACTTCCTGACACAGATGTTCCAGTTTCTCAAAGGGAGTTTGCTATAAAGAAGAATTTTAGTGGGGAGGAAAAATAGCAACCAAAACTAGAATACCAAGCATCTGAACAGATGAGACACAGTAGATAGTAGCACATGTTTCCTGCTTTCTGGTTGGTCTAACTCTGGCAGCTGATGTTGTCAGCTCTATTTTGTGAGAAGTTTTTTAGTTGCCTATAGACGTACTAAAATAGACATTGCCCAGAGAGTTTTGGACAGAGAGGTAGAAATGAACTTATATTTAGAGTGGTGGGAGTGAGAAGGGAGACCTCTCTTGAGAGATGAAAAACAACTGCTGAATAAAGCAAAAGAAGGGCGCTGCCTACGGCTCAAAGGAGTAGGGTACTGGCCACATACCAGAGGTGGCAGGTTCAAACCCAGCCCTGGACAAAAAAAAAAAAAAAGCAAAAGAAGATAAACTGCTCTTATACTTCAAGCCCTCCCATCGCCATTTCTCTAGTCCAGGGGGTCTTCCTATTAAAGTTGAAATGTGCATCTTGTGATTTCCCGGTGGTCTCTCAAAGCCAGCAGCATGGCCTAGGAGCACTTAACAAATACTTAGTGATTAAAAGGGAACAAGTTGAGAAGGCTTTCCTAAGAATCGAAAGAGCAAAATATTAAGTACAGAATTTGGGCAGAAAAAAAAGAAAGAAAATGTGTAGAGATAAAAGGACAGAGAAAGTAGGGAATGCATGTGAGCTGCTGGCATAGAGTTAGTGGCTGAAGAATCTTCACAGTGTTGTGTTTCTCTGTTTGAAATAAACTAACATTTTGCTTAATGGGGAAAAAGTGCACTTTAACTTGATTGTAGTTATCAGGCAACTTATGTGGGCACATAACGAACTCATCCTGATGTAGCTACTAACATCAGATTGATTTTTCAGCATGAAGAATCATGAGAAGTCCAAGAAACATCGGGAAATGGTTGCCTTGTTAAAACAACAGTTGGAGGAGGAGGAAGAAAATTTTTCAGGACCTCAATTTGATGAAAATCCATTGAATGACAATTCTGAGGAAGAAATGGAAGATGCACCAAAACAAAAGTATTTCTCCATGCTAATATCCTTAGATACACTTATCACAAGTAGCAGTTACTTGGAAACACTATTTCATCCTAAGGAAGCTGCTTCGTTACCTTAGTATTTTCTTTATTTTCATTATTCTTTCCTAGTTAATGGAACGTTATAGTGGCAAAGTGGGTAAAGACGCAATGTAATTTTTCTAGAATACATTATGACGGTATTAAAAGCGGTTTTATAGGTAGGCAGTTGATACGCTAATTACTGTCTGTTGACACAACCATCTGTTACTAGTCTCTAAAGTGACAATATGAATATTTTATCTTCCGTTTAATGCTTTATGATATTAAATATTTTTAATATTTTACTTATTTTTATATTACTACTTGTTCAGTGTTTTTTCTTTTCAGTTCAGTTTTTATGTGAATCTCACAGCGTTAAGTGTTTGACATTTTGATTTATTTTTGCTCTTAGGCTTTCTAAAAAGCAGAAGAAAAAGAAACAGAAGCCAGCCCAGGTATGTTGAAGAGATTTTATTATCATTAAATACCAACTGTAAAGTCACAGTGCTTTTTCTTTGTTCAGTATGGTCTGTATTAAGGAGAGGGACATTCACCCCATAATTTTATATTGATTTTAAGATTGATTGAAAGGAATTGAAAATATTTTCCTTTTTCAGTGCTTTCTTCTCTTTATTACTACTTACTTACTTACCAACTTACTATTGCCAGTGTGTTTAAGAATTTTTCATGTAGAATTCCCTTGGTATGAATTAGCTGAGTGACCATATTTAAAAAAATCTGGATACATCTCACGACAGGGCTTTTTAAAAAGTCAAGACAACAATTAAAATCAGGAAATATGAAAATCTGGGGGTTGATAATTATATAACACATGTGTTTATCCTGTCAACCACATAAATGAAATATTCCAAAAGGAATGTTTAGTTAGAAACATGTAATGGTTGTGATTCTTGAAAAAATATTTGTTATTCAGGGGCTTAGCTTAAATACTTCAAGCTGGAGTCCAAGTTCAATCTCTGTCTTAAGATTGTTTTTAAATCAAATAGCATCATGTTATTACACTAGGGTAACAATCTCGTGAATGTCTCTGAACCTATAAGAACAAAGTGAGTTGGTCTATTTTACTAAGGCTATTGGTGGTTCTGAAGAGGGTGGAATTGATTTTGTGCCATTTTTACATAATCTAGTTATATTAATTTATATTAGCTATTAAGTGTTTTTAAGAAAACTTAAGTAACATGATGATTTTTAAAAAACTTTAGATTTGGCATATTTATCCAAATGATTATAATATTTGATAGAGTTTATCAGTTTCCTGTTCTGAAAATGGTACATGACACATGAGCTAAAATTATAATTTGTAACTTTTTGCTTTAAGTATAAAACCACATAGCAGTTATGTATTTCATTTACAGATTGACTCCTACTATGATCCATCCAAACACCTTATTATAATCGTTAGTTTAGAATACTTTCTCTTTATGTTTGTCACTACCACTACAATAAGAACTAAGTAAAATGGAGACGGATTTGTCCTTAACCCACGGCCATCTTGCTTAAGTTGGTGGAGGGTAGATTCTGTTGATTGCAATCATAAGCACATCCATTCGGTTTTCTCACTGACAAAAATCCTTCAAAGGACTGCCCATTTTTTCCTCTCCAAAGCTGTAGTCCTTTTGGCACCTCTTGTTTATGTTTCAGGTTGTATCAGGTTCACATCTAGTTTTATGTAGCACTTTCCTTGATCTATTCTAAGCTCTTCGTGAAGGGAAAGGCAATGTGGAGACATGTGCTGATAGACGAAAGAGCAGGGGCAGAAATACTGAGTATCTTGAAGCTTCAGACTGGGAAAAAATTGCATAAGCCAACAAGGATAGTAAAAGAAGCCCCCTTCTACCCCCCGCAAAAATTAATATTGAATGTAAACAGAAACAAGTGGCCCTAGCTAATAGAAAAGAAGAATTAATTCAAGTAACTTTTTAACACAGTACTCTGAATACTTTCCAAGGGTATAGCTGAAAGATAAAATTAACTGCAAAAACGTTAAATCTTAATTAGGTTTTTTGTAATATTGGTGTGGTATTGCTGAAACTATTTTGTGTATTACTGTAGGATGGAGCAGATGAATAAATGTAATAATGTTGGGAACCAGATTCTCTTTGTGGGAAAAGGAAAATGCCGATATAGATTAGGGGAAAGAAGGAAGACTACTGTGTGTTAGATTGGAATTGGAGATATTGGTATGCGCTCATGGTTTAAAGATGGCATGTATGTTGTGGTGTGTGTAGTGAGGACCTAAAAGTAGCACCCCTTAGCAGACGTGTTAGTACACATCTTAGTCTCTAAGTTCCCTTTCCCACGAAAAGGAAGCAGGCTTGAACCTTGGAAGAATGGCTGATTTCAAAGTGGAAGGGGAGCCCAGAACATCATATGCTGAAAACTGAGGAAGTACTCCAAAGCTGATGAGGAAGTGTCAAAATACTCAGGACCAGCCTGGAGCCCATAAGTCAGTGGCTAGGGCACCAGCCATATATATCAGGATTGCTGGGTGCCAGCCTGGCCCAGGCCTGCTAAACAATGACAACTACAACAAAAAAATAGCCAGATGTTGTGGCGAGTGCCTGTTTTCCCAGCTACTTGGGAGGCAGAGGCAAGAGAATTGCACTCCACGGCACTCTACGGAAGGTGACGTAATGAGACTCTGTCTCAAAAAAAAAAAAAAAAA